GGGGAGCGGGCGGGTCTTGGGCAACGGGCGAGAAGCCCCAGAGCGGGAGCGGCCGCAGCAGCTCCAGGGAGCGGATCCTGCTCCTCCGCTCCCGCTCTGGGTGCCCAGGACAAGAGAGAGGTGGAGACGAGGGAGCAAGTTGGGCTGGGGGTGATGAAGAGGATGAAGGGGCTTGAGGAAGAGGATGAAGGGGCTGGAGCGTCTCCCATGGGGAGAGCCAGGAGCCTTCATCTTGGAGGTGACACAGTTGGGATCTCCTCAGTGACAAGAGGACGAGGCCGGAGTTGCTCTGACCGTGCCCAGCGCAGGAAGAGGCAGCGGGCGAAGAGTCAATGGGCACAATGGAAGCTTCGTGTGCCCTGGAGAAGAGTCCCAGGCCCCAAGCATGGACCCAGGGCCTCATGGGGTCTCTGTCCTTGGAGTTCCTCAACACCCCTACAGAGCTGGGGCCCTCGGCCAGCTCCTGGCCCTTCTCCACCCTTCCCAGACTTTCGGACAAGGGGAACCTTGAAGAACAGATGCAGCCGAAGGGAGACCCATGATTTACTGAAGCCCTCAAGGACCAACCAGTGGTTGATTAATGACACCACCAAAATTAAGATGAGTAAAATGGTCTCTAAAAGTGGGAGAAAGAACAAGGAGCCACTCGCTACCCCCCCAGGGCTAAAAGCTGGTGTGGACAAGGCTCACTCGTGCAATGAAAGCGAGGGCTAATGAGAAGGGATGAAAACAGCTCCTGCGGCAACACTGAAGCAGGAAGAGCTGAGCGGGATCCAGAAGCATCCAAGGATGAAACGGGGCTGGTTCAGCCACATCCGGGGTGGTGGGTGCTGCTGCTCTGGGGTAGCAGTGCTTAGAGGGGGATTTTGCTACCTGCAAGGACAAGAGGAGACAAATAAGGAAGGAAGGAAGGGAGGGACCCAGCACCCACGGGTGTCCGTCCATCCCGGCACGAATCCTCACCCGCTCCGGAGCTGTCCTGCCCGCTGTCGTGGCCTAAAAGAGTCCCGTGTCCCATTCTCCTCCCCTCAATGCCACGACACTCTGGAGGACACGACGTGTCTTTATTCCTTGGCTGGTGGCCGCCGCGGTCCCTGGTGCCACCGCGGGGCTTGGGGGTCCATGGGGCACCCGGATGGGTCGGTCCCTGAGTCCCTCAGGTGCTGCCTGGAGGGGGACAGGGGACAGTGAAGGGGTGAACGGGCCCTGTGTGACAGGAGGGGGGGACAGGGATGGGGATTGGGGATATTGATGGGGGACAGAGGACAGGGATGGGGACAGGGACAGAGATGGGGGACGGGGACAGGGATGGGGACAGGGACAGAGATGGGGACAAAGATGGGGACAGAGAACAGGGATGGGGACACGTTGGTGGCACCGTTACCTGCAGGGTAGTTGTCACCAGGGAGAGGAGTGTAACCTGCGAGTGAGAAGAGCCCTGTGAGTGCCCATGTCCCCCATGTCCCCCCATGTCCCTCCACATCTCTCCATGTCTCCCATGTCCCCCCATGTCCCTCCACGTCCCTCCATGTCCCCCACATCCCTATGTGCCTCCAGATCCTCCTATGTCCCCCATGTCCCCATGTCCCCACACATCCCTCCATGTCCCCCCTGTCCCTCCACATCCTTCCATGTCTCTCCATGTCCCCCATGTCCCCCCATATCCCCCCATGACCTCATGTCCCCCCACATCCCCCGTGTCCCTCCATGTCCCCCACATACCTCTGTGCCTCCT